GGTTGTTGTGTAGAGATATCCAATAAGCTTGAGTGATTTATCTTCTCTTGTTTGTTGGTACCAGTAAAGGTAAAAAAAGTCCTTGTAAGTATGTGCGCAACTGAGGTTCACATTATTTCCTGGATTCTCGATCACATCAGTAGTCTGAATGATTTTGCTGCTTAATGAAGGATCTGGAGAGAAGAACAAAATGAATAGCATGTTATGTTAAAAAGAATACACATTACAAGAATACAGATTACAAGATTTTGAAGAAGCTTTATATGTATTACTGTATCTTGGTGTACTCTTTTTTGTAAATAATTACCTGTGAACCAGAGCAACAGAACATGAAAAATCAGCACATGAAGCACCATCCTTTGTCATAAACTAATATTAGATGTAGAATCTAGAGATATAAAATCAGGTTTAAAAAAATGATAGAGTGTATAGAAAAACGAAAACCTGATTAAATTTTGGTTGCAATCAGTAACAGGAGTAGGTGCAATGACCCACCCAAATCCCCTTCTTGTTCATGAAATGCCTTCTCTTTTGAGGTGGAGTGTGAGGAGGGGTTTTTGCACTGTGGTCACAGCAGAGGAGACGCACTGTGTATATATGCTGCACAGAAATAAACTGCACTATCTTGTAGAGAGAGGCTGGGAATACTCAGTGATCCTTTAGACCTTCCATCCCCACTCAGGTTAAACCTTGGCTCCTCAGGGTTTGGAGTTTCCAGGAAAAGAATCCCAAGATATTTCATCTCACTCCCAGAGCTGTTCATCTTGTACCAAAGTATAGTGTTATAGCTTGATACGCTATGAGAGCAGTAGAGCACAGCAGTATCCTAGATTTTTCAGCAGATCTGGTGGAGTCTGGACAACATCTTTACTCAGAACTGATGCTATTGAGAGACAGTAAAAAAGAGTAGTGTAGTGTAAAGGTACACGATCTTTGAAGTGAACATATCTGTTTCCTTGTTATACAACAGCACAAAATCTCACCTGTTAATAACATCAGTAAGATTGTTGTAAGGATCAGAAATCTAATTATGAGCATAATTACATGCATCATTTTGAAAAGGCGTTTGAGTGCTCAGTGTGATCTTCCACTCTGTAAAGTGTGTGCATAAGACTGATAATCAACACTGTTTATACAGTTTCATTTCTCTTTACTGCCCTCTATTGGAATAACTAGAATGTTGCTTAAATGTTAGCTAACAGAACTAGTCAAGTCAAATCAAGTCCAGTAGGCTTCCTTGTTAGAAACAAAATCTACTCCTGGAATCATCCTGCTACACTGAATATGAAACAGTGACTAACAAAAGGCATAGAAACACAATGACAAAACCTATAGAATATATAATATAGTATATAATAATAGAGTAAGCAAAGTATACAGTAAGCACTAAACAGTATAAAAAACTCAGTAGTATTAATTGCATATTAACTCTATTAATAGTCCTAAGCAAATTAGAAAGTATAAAGTGAGTGAAAATGATTAAATTCAATTGAATTCTCACAAGTGAAGATCATGTGGGTGTTACACCTGACATGAGCTTCACATCTTCAACATGCTACCAGTTTTTATCAGTGACCTCTACTGTACACTTCCCATATTGCGTTCTATTACAGATTGTACTAATCAGAGAACAGATCTTATTTGCAGGTGTCTGGTGTGAAGCTTTTTGTTAAACAGAGAGGGAAGGTGTGTGGCTGTGCTTACTAGCAGCACAGAAATATACTGCACTGTCCTCAGGAGTTATACTGGATATGAGCAGAAACGCATCCCCTGTGGAGTGTCCTGAAATGTTGAATCGTGATTTAAACTTCTCCTCAGGAGTGACTCTTTTATTCTGGAGCATTCCAATGAGCTCAATCGAGTCACTGACTGCCTTTTGTTGATACCAGTACATGTAGTTATAGTTGGGATCACCATGCCGGCAGCTGAGCTTTGCTTCTTTCTGCTCAGGTGTCATTATTAGATGTGGTGGTGATTGCTGGATGTTGAGGGAAGAGATCACTGCAGCTGTAAAGAAAAGGGATGTGCAAATTCATTATAAGAAGTCAAAACAAAGCT